TGCTTTAGCTAAAGCAAACAGCAGCAAAGGGACCCAGCGAGGGTCTGGCCGGTGGGTTCGCAGAGAACCACATTCCCCCGGATCCCCGGCTGGCCGAGCCCTGCCAGGAACGGCTGTCCCCCCCCCGCCCCGCCGCTCCCCGCGCAGGGAGGCGCAGCCTTTCGCTCAGCCGGGGTTTTGTGCCCATATAAGGAAGTCAGCGCAAGGCAGCGCGCAGGGATTGCGCTGCGCCTCCAACACACAACATTCCAGCCGCGACCCGCGGGGCAGCCCCCCCCCTCCGGGTGTGCCCCCCCCCCCAAGCGGCGGGGACTTGGGGGCACCCAGGGCGGGAGCCGGCTCAGCTGGGAGTTTGCCACAACTTGCGCAGAGCGCGGAGCTCTGCAGCCATTTTCCCTTGTGCAATCACACCCCGCCCGCAGCCTGCCACACCCCGCCCCCCCAACCCACAAGCGAGGGGGGCCGCGCAGCGCCCCTAAAACCAGCCCTACCCCCCCCATCCGGCCTGGCTGGGGAAACGCGGCAGGGAGGCTCGCGGGCTGGGCGGGTCCCGCCGGAACTGCTCCTAAGTGAGCCATGCGCGGGGGGGGTGAGTCACCCCCAGACCCGGGTTAGGGGGGCCCAGGGACCCCACAGCAGCAAGAGCCGAAGGTAGCCCGGAGAGATTCCCCCCCCTGCGCCCCAGAAGCGAGGGGCCCGGTGTTACGGGGGGGGGGGAGCAAACACAGGCCCCGCCCCACTTACCGGCCGGCTAGAAAGAGGCTACAGGAGGAGAGTGGAGGCTAGTGACAGAGGAGGAGGAAGGTCTACAAGGGAGGGAGAGAAGCGGTAAGTGCATCCGCGGCGGCGGGACGCGCAAGGGATTCGCCCCCGAAATGAAAATAGCGCGCAAGGGCGGAGGTCGCGCAAGGGGGGGCGGGCACTTACCGGCCGTCTGATCCTCGGAGAAATCGCACTGCAAGGCAAGCACAGGGGTGAGGGGGGCGCCGTCAGCGGGGCTGCCCGCCCCCCTTCCCCGCGAGCTCCGCACCCCCACAAGCGCTGTCACCGGGCTCCCTCTTGGGGGGGGGGGCTTGATGTCAGGCCCGGGAATGTCCCTGGCTTCGAGCGGCTGGAACCTACCCGTGCCCCCCTCCAGCCCCGTGCACCGCCCCGAGCTCGCCCCCAGGCACCGGCCCCGTGCACCGCCCCGAGCTCGCCCCCTTTCCAGCCCCCCC